ACATGCATTTTTTATATATTTTTCATATATACATATATACGATATATATAAATATATGAAAAATTGATGTGGGTACTCAAATGAAAGGTCTCGATGAGTGTAATGTCGGGGTGAACTTATATCTTAAAAAATGTCAATAGTTTACAAGATACAAGGTCATTTCTTAATTATGGATCAAGATAGAGAATTTTTGAATGAAGCCTAAATACTTATCATCATAAATTGACTATCGGTGAAAACGATATGAAACCTTGAAAAGGCACGAATTTTTCTTTTTCTCTTAATAATATAGATGATATTCATTTTTTATTATATAAAATTTTAAAGGTCCTCGATTATACAAACAACCTGCGACTAAATCGAATCGTGGAATAATGCTGAATGCTGTTGAGTATTGCGTATTCCCTGGATCAGTTAATAAAGAATCCAAGAGACGCGTACTGGAAGAAATTGGACGATCTGAAAGTAAACATTTTCTAATACTCTTCAGAGATGCTGGGTGCCAGTTTCGAGCACTTTATTCTTATTGTCCTGATAAGGAAGAAGTTACTAAGTTATGTGGCACTGGACCTAAACAAGTTATTGATAATATGTTTGATAAATTTTTCAAGTAAGTTTTTATGAAGAAAAAAAAATGAATTTTTTTTGGAAATTATTTTTTAAAAATTTTAAACATAAAAAAATTAAATATTTTCAGATACAATTCTGGTGGTAAATGTTTCTCGCAAGTGCATACAAAGCATCTGACTGTGACCATAGATGCCTTTACGATACACAATAGTCTTTGGCAAGGTAAAAAAGTAAATTTACCAAACAAAAAGGACATGGCTCTCGTCATATAGTTTATACACGATAAAAACTTTACCTCTAACGTTAAAAAAATATAAATTAACGCCTCCGTTATAGTTAATATTTTAATAAAAAATCCATACGTTATGTTTTTATTTAATGAATATAAATTTAAATAACATCCTTATTAATTAATTAACTAACTGAGATAATTAATTAAGTAATTAACATGTATGTAATGTTATTTAAATATATATTTAAACATTTATTACTGACAGTTAAATATTCATGGCCTTGTGTTTATGTTATTGATGTATTTTTTACTACTTATATCGTGATATTAACACCGATATATAATTATTTTATGAGATTAATATGAACAATAGGAATTGTATGTTATTAATAAATAAATATTGCGCGGACTAACAGCATTAATCGTCGTAGTACTCTTTATACTGTCACAGATCTAAGTGCGCACTCTATTCGACGAGCACAATTCTCATTTAAAACTATATTATATTATCATTAATTATTATTGTTTAAAAAAATCCACGAGCTTCATTTTTTTATTTTATTTTTATTATTTAATTATTAAAAAAAAAAAAATAAATAAAAACCATTTGTACGTTAATATTTTGGAGTCATTAATAACGAACTTCCATTAAAGTAGATAATTCGACACATTGTTGTAATTTATCACTTATTATTTCTAGAGACTGTTGATCCGTTGTGAGTTTTTTTTTTTTTTTTTTTTTTTATCAATTGCTGTTACTAAAAAGATTTTGCAAGAATGAATATAAATGAATAATATTTTTTCTTATATAATAAGAATAATAATAATAATTAGTAATAATTATTATTTTGAGAATACTCATATAAATTAATAGTCTCTCAATAGTCATATAATTTTTTGTTGTGATTGTTGAAATTAACAACGATTAGTGTGATTTGAGTAATTTAATTAAAATGTTGATTAAAATAATTATTAAATTTTACTCTGTATAAACAATTTCATGGACATGAATTAGGTTTGTAAATAAAAACATTTGCTAATTAGTTGTGAAAAAAAAAATCTTTTAAATGCATACCAAATTAGCCTTAAATTTAATATTAGACTGAGCGTCATTATATTTTTTTCATGATCTGAAGTATTTTTTTCTATTTCTTTTTTACAACACAATGAAAATTTTTTTTATTTTTCGTAGCTAATGGCATTTAATTTTTGACCTTTTTATTTTATTTTTCATAATTACTCAATTTTTTAATTGGAAAATTACAAAATTTTTATTAAGATATGTCTTCCTAAATTTATTCAATAAAATAAAGAAGAGCAGTCAATTAAGTATTAACGCTTGGATATTTCAAATCGAGTGTGCAATCAGAAATATTACTTTTTTGTGCCATAAATTATAAGGCCGTAGTTTCAGTAAATAAAATTTTTACTCGGACAATTTTATTACAAATAACAAGTTAGCACGATAAATAATTCCATTTATAGAAATATTTAAAGTCACATTTATGGAACTATTAGAAAAAAAAAAAAAAAAAAAAAAAA